AATTGCATGCGATAGCGAGGGATGGATAATCACAAAGAAATTTGAGTACAACAGAAAAAGAACTACCCAAGAATTCTAATCAGAAATAAATAGTTCCAAAGGCTTAAATACTGCTACTTTGCTTTGAGTAAGTGTAATAGTCTTTTAATTGTACCATTTGCAGAAATGTTCTGTGGTGACTTCTGGCTTTCTAACAACTCACTGTTCTCATATACTGTCTGAGCAATTCTTTCCAATGTCTTCAGATAGTTCTCCATTCTGTTCTTCCACTGATTCCAGTAACCCCATTAGCATGAGTGGGAGTTGCAAACATGCCCTATTTGCTTACTTAATTGTCAGTTGATATCCTCAAAAACTATTTCATCCATATAATCAGCAATCTGCTCATTCATTCAATTTGTTGTATTTCTACCAGTATTTGAAATTGAAAACTTTTGTTTATATAGCTATGAGTTTTATTTTTCTTGTAGTTCACAGAGTCAATAATGATTTTAAATAAGAATGGTCAAATCCTGATCTCCCCAGTTTATTCAATACCTTCCTTCACCAAACGACCAAACTATGTAGCTTAAGATGTATATGGTCTATGATGTTGACACAAGAAAAAATATTTTCTAATCTTATAATCCTCACACAGATTTGGTGACACACTGGAACAGGTTGCCCAGAGAGGTTGTGGATGCCCCATCCCTGGAGGCATTCAAAGCCAGGCTGGATGTGGCTCTGGGCAACCTGGTCTATTGCAGGTGATCCTGCACATAGCAGGGGGGTGGAAACTAGACGATCATTGTGGTCCTTTTCAACCCAGGCCACTCTACGATTCTATGATTCTTCTATTGATCTTTTTGGAGTTGAAAGTGCTTGATCTTTTCAGAGCAGCACAACATAGATTTAGGGCTTGGTCCATACACATAAAACTAGCATGAAAAAGGCAATGAGCTAACCTGAGTTCCCTCTAAGCCTATATTAACATTATTCTATGAAAATGAATGGTGTTAATCTTTTTAAAAAACAAAAATCACTTACTACTTTATACTATTTGATGTATACTGTGGCATTCTTTTAATATAAGTCTGACCAGCAGGGTGAGGGAGGTGATTGTGCCCCTCTACTCTGCCCTTTAAGGCCCCACATGCCCCACGGGCATCCAGACCTAGAATGCCCAGCACAAGAAAGACATGGGGCTATTGGAATGAGTCCAGAGGAGGGCCACAAAGATTATCAAAGGGCTGGAGCACCTCTCCTGTGAAGAAAGGTTGAGGGAGTTGAACTTGTTTAGCTTGGAGAAGAGGAGACTCCAAGGAAGCCTCATTGCAGCTTTCCAATACTTGAGGGGAGCTTATAAGCAGGAGGGACACCAACTTCTTAAATGGTCTGATAGAACAAAGGGGAATGACTTCAAACTAAAAGAGGAGAAATTTAGTCTAAAAATTAGGAGGAAGTTCTTTACTAAGTGTATGGTGAGAGAGAGGCTGCCCAGAAAAGCTTGGATGCCCCATCCCTTGGAGGTACTCAAGGCCAGGTTGGATGGGGCCCTGGGCAGAATGATCTGGTGGGTGGCAGCCCTACCCACGGCAGAGGGTTGGAACTTGATGATCTTTAAGGTCTCTTTCAAATTAAGCCATTCTATGATTCCATGACTACGAAAGACTAATGTAGATAAGCAAGAAAAGAAACCAAATACAAAAACCACTTTGTTACTAAGAAAGGCATCATAACTTACACACTGTGCAGGTATTTGAGTCATTTGCCAGAATTCAGCTTATGAAGCTAATTTTCTGCCTGCCTCCCATCAATCTCAATTGTGTTGCTGCCCCTTGAGAAGTGCCAGCTGGAAGATGAAACCGAGTTTTGCAGATGTTATTTGGTCATCACCGAACTCCAGTTGCTATTTTATATATTTACGCACTTTACTCAAGGTTAAACCAGCTAATTCCAGGCGAAAACTGTTCACCAATTGCTCGCCACATTTGAGACTGACAGCGGATAACTGGATGGATGGAAATGCAATCAGTCTCAATTTGGATTCTACAATAGCAGATGACAGCCACATCTGTTCTGGGCAAGGCAGACTGCAGTGCACAATGGCACAGCCCACTGCAGGGAGAGAGAGACCAGAATGAGAGTAGCACAGATTCTGTTTTCTTTTTGCTTCCCTTTTTGGAGGATGGGGGATCTTCAGTGAAAAGCCAGATCTGCACCTGCAATTCAGATCAGGTTCAGTTAGATAAAGACTAATTTTTTTAACCCTATTTTACCATGGAAAGGGCAAAGCAGAATGTCATAAGATCGATTTCTCACTCAGCATTTTTTTTTCACTTTTAGCTGATCATAACAGTACAAACGCATGGAGGTTCAGCAGTGTCAAACCTGAATCCACTTGTTAATCCTGTCTGTATGTTGCAACTGAATTTTAACATTATCTCTCAACCTACACTCCCTGAGATACTACCTTCAGGAGCTTCGCTCTTTTCTGAGGGCTACACCTACCCACGGCACAGTTGGAGAACACGACTGCGAGCAGAGAAAGGGGGAAAAAAATCTCATCATTTGAGGTTGTTCGCTGAGTTAATTTTGATCTGGCTTATACCACTGAAAAGTCTGATGACATCAATGGATGAAGACAAGCAGCGAAAAAGAATGATCTGATGGAAGTTAAATTCAAGTGTCCTTAATGTAATGTCATCTCCACTTTTAAAACTAATTCCTGCTATTAAAATTCCATTAATTTCTAAATTGCTTAGAGATGAGAATAGGAAGAAACCTTGAGCTGTCCTAGTGTGGCACTGGTGGTGCACTAGCAAATAGTGACTCTGACCTCTTTTAGTGGTATTAGCTAGTCCCAAAAGCTCTTTTGATTGAACTCTGCTGCTGAAACATCTGGCTGGGACACTGGCAGTCAGAAAGACAGTGCTTCTTGTGTACCTCTTTCACCAAGCTGGAATCACAAAGAAAATTCTAAAGAGATTCCTCACCGTATGCAGAGGACAAACTTAGTTCCCAGTGTTCATATGTTCTCTCTAACTTCCTTTACATAACTCCTCCTTCCTTTGGGACATGCAAAAATTCATTGGTGAGAACAGGAGCAACATGATGAATAGTGGCTATGACAGACGACGAACTTACTTGGAGAAATAACACATCCATCTTGCTTGATTTAGAAAAGCTTGAATTGCTGGAGCGTTTTCAATCATGAACTGGGAAATTTAATCAGTTTCCTTCCATAATAATTCTTCTTTGCTATGAAACATGACAAATATGAAAGGTCACAGTGAAGTCAGTGTACTTGATTAAGAACGAAACCCTTTCAGCACGGCAGTTTGGACTGTGAAGAAGCACACTGAACTGTCCTACAGCCAGACTGGGTTTAGAAGGTACAAATGCTGAAGACCTTTTTTTTTTGTGGGGGAGGACGGGTGGTTTGTTGGGTCCTTTTTTGCTTCAACGTACAAGTCTCAAATCAGATGTGTTCAAGTGATGCATTAGGCTAGAATTGAATGAAGGTTACTGATTGTGAGTGAATTACATTGAGAGAAAATAAAAAGCAAAATGAGAAAAGACAAGACTCAGATTAAATTTTTAATAAGGAGTATTTAGAAGCACCTAGCTTCTTCTGCAAAGCCAGTGAATCTTTAATGCAAAAATTGCTTTGAAAAGGCAATTATCCCAAAAAGAAATTGCTCTGCTCTGCAGCAGGACAAAATTTAATAATTAAAATGTACACTGAGAGATTTTACTGCTATTTTAAGTACTTTCATAGTGCAGCCTCAACTATAAGCATTCAAGCTGTTGCCTCCATTACGTAAGACCAGCAAGCAGTTCAAGCTAAAACCCCTGTAAACCAGGCTGTTCTAGAAATGTGACTGCCTCTAGCAAGTGCAGGCAATAGCAGATTCTCTGGAAAGACCATAGGAAGTGTTCTGGGGCAAGTACAATGCAAAGATGGAACTGTTAAAAATAAAATACCCCGGGCCATCTGCAGGATGAAGGTTTGAGCACAGTGCACAGTCTATTTACCCCAGATGGGACATCTTAAACAAAACATCTGAAAGCAAGACAAGAAGAAAGGGGCACAGAGGCAGCCCTGTATATTACCTACAGTGCAGTGTCTCTGGCTAGCTGTTTCCAGATTACACTTGCTCCAGGAGCCTCTCCTTTCCCTCTTTTTCCTTCTCTGTTTCCCTTCCTTCCCATTACTAAGTTATTCTACACAAATATCCATTCACAAATGCACAAAAAAGCAGGGAGTCTTTTGACTTGATCAGGAAAGAGGATGTGCTTTTTTGTTGCTGTTTTCTGAGAGGATGTTTTTTGTGGTAATGTTTTATTTCTGATGTTTTCTTTTTTCCCATAGTTGTTCAGGAAATCATTGTTCTCTCTGTATGGTAGTGGTTGCCCATTCAAATATTCATGCTCAACAGAGACTTAATCAGCTCTAGTGATGCTCTCCTTGTCCCAAAACTTCATAAAGATCTCTCAGAGCTTCCAGGCTTCAAGCAGAATTCGGATGTCCTCTTTAAATCTGTTTACGAAACTTCGAAATCTTTTGTCTGTCTGAAATATGAGTCTGTAATGCACTAATTTTCTCAGTACAGTTCAGGATGAGTGAAACTGGGTGGAAAAGGCTGAGAAGGAGGAAAAATGTGTTTATTTTTAGCTGCATGTGACTAAGATGATACTGCAGGAGAAATCAGAAAGATACAGCAAGCAGGGGAACGTTTTAGGGAGTCGTATGTCTTTCATGTGGTGATTAAATGTAGACAATCAGACTTCTCATAAGAAGAAGCAGCAGAAGAAAAGAGTTAAGAAAAAGCAAAAAGGGGATGTATCTCAGCCATTTGAACAGTGGGAAGAAACTTAAAGTCTGAAAGACTGCTACTGAGAGTGGGGAGAGAAGCTGCAGCTTCAAAGAGACGACAGATTAAAAGAATTGAGGCATTGGCCCTGAACATTCAAAGGGTTATACCTGTAAGCAGCACATCCAGTGGAGTTACCTGCAAGAATGGAGGCCTGGCAGACCGCGAGCCCATCTACAAGAGGTTGCCTGGGACTGGGAATGGCCAGCTGCTGTTCACTGAGGAAATGGGGGCTTAGGATGGCTCCAAAGTAGGATCTGAGGTGGTGTGCCAGCACAGGAGTGACAGGGAAGACTACTGCCATGGCACAACTACGACCGCATCAGAGGTGCTTAGTTTCCCTGGCAATTGTTTCTCAAATGAACAGTGTATGCTCTTCCATCAAAATACTGGAAACAAAAGAGGAATAGGAGCATTAACAGGTAGGAAATGAAAAGAAAACACAGAAGAAAAGCTGTAGTTAGATAAGGAAAAAATACTGAAGAGTGTAAGTGTTCAAGAGCATTAAACAAGACAAAAGCTGTACAGCAATCACACAGTTACTATTTTCTCACAGGTAACTCTTCAGTTAAATTACATTTGGCTTTCCTTTGTTCTGCACTTTGAATTCACTCCAGTCTCCCCAGAATATTTTCATCTTCTTGAAGAAATCCACAAGACCAAACAATAGGGAAGCAGAGCAGATTGCTGATTAAAATGCAAGGTGTGCACTTGGGGCCAGAAAGTGCCTGAGGGTAAAGCACCGAGCAGAGGGTAATCTTCAGGTAGCATGAAGCCAGGAAGAGCTGTGACTCAGTTGCTCTGACTCACCATGCCTCCCCTGCTTCTTCCAGCTCTCTAGAGCACGGGGCTGGGGCAGCAATCTGATTTCCAGCTTTTGCCACTGGGAAATGACTGCCTACACTGTGAGGAGTGACAGGCTGCATCGAGGTAGGGGTACGGAAGCTTCTCCAGTCCCTGCTGTTCTGGGACTCCCATGAGGCAGGAGAAAACTGGAGGAAATACCTGCATTTCCTTGTGATCAGGCACTAGCAGTCAGGCAGGCATCAGGTACCATTCCTCCTTGGCCTTGCACAGAATCACGGGATGAGACAATTTGGCCATGAGCTGCCCACACTTCACATGATGAAAAATCAGCTGGTCGAGGCTTACATTATCACAGTGAGCATGGGCATGTGAGGAGTGAGCCTGAAGCAAAGCTGTCTGTGTGAAGGAAGAGCAGAAGGAAGCTGATGTTGTGTTGGATAACAGATATAATCCCAGCTGCTTTGAAGTCAGTGGTTTAACCTCCTGCTGTTTACAGTTGGGACAGGATTTCACCACAAGGTTCTTTTTTAATTAAGATTTTGATTTTTTCTACGTACTGAAATGGTGCTTGCCTTCAGCTCAGGCTAATAAGCAATAAAGCAATGCTACTGAAACAACAAAATTAGTGGCAAGGAGGAGAGAGAAGCTCACTGCCAGCAGTGCCACTACTGAGAAGGGTCTGAGAGACTTAGTCAGGGAAACAGATCCCCACAAGACCAAGCCTGCACCATAACCACTCAGCTATAGCTCAGGTGGTAGCACTGGCCGAAAGGAATAGCCAGGGTTCATATTTGTGTGCTGTCACTGTCCCTGCTGTCTCTGAAAACCTACAATGGATAAATATAAGGTGCTAAATTACTCCAGAGCTGGGCCTGCATTTTTTACCTACTGCTCTGCATTTTGTTCGGCAGCCATCAGATAACTGAGCACAAAGGCTAAGGCAATATAATTTGAATAACAGCAAATGAAATGCAGTGCAATTATTTCTGAATGTTTTATCTATCTGCCCCCTCTCACATGGTAACAGGATTTGCATCCCTGTTAGAGAAATCTCCAAGCAGATGATGCTTGGATCAGAAGCACATACCTTTTATTTTTATTTCTCCTTCTCTAGCTTAATGACTTCTCGATGCAGGCTCCTTTCTTTCTTCTAGAGACAGTCACCAGCTGCAGCTCAACACAGGGTCCATTCACCACTCATCCCCTTCCATTCAGTCCCTACAAGTTTGTGGGGCCAATATGGCAATTTTACTTCAGAGTTCCCTGCGAAAAAGGGAGAAAAATCGAGAAGGGAAACTTCTGCTCTCACCTCATCCCCTGAGGGTGGACAGGAGGGACACAACTGGTTCAAAAATCTAGAGAAGGGTAGGAAGCAACGCAGTTTGCTGCCCTGAGGGTGAGGATACTCACAGCAGCTTCTAGTCTTGCACCTCTTGCCATCACTTCCTTCTGAGGTATCAGTAGCTGCAGGAATATCTGGGTTACATTTTATCCTTTGCTGCAGCATCCACGTGCCAGGGCAAAGATAGCAGTCCCTATCCTGAAAAGAAGCTGACTTATAGCTGTATTCTTGAATTTTTCAGCAAATTTAATTTCAGCTCAGTGTAATGAAATCCTTGTCCACAGAGACATCTCAAAAATAGACAACAAGATAGCTGGCAAAACATAGCTCTGCTGTTTATTTATAACAGCTTTTTTTTTTTTTTTTCACCTGAAGTTTTACTGGCTGAATGGCTAAACAAGGATTTGACCCGCTGGACAAAAGATTATTGGAAAGTTCAGTGTTCACATTTTTGTAGTATAGGGTGATCTGCCTATTTTTATCTTTTTAAGGCAGTCAAGTTGATTAATGATATGAGGAAAGTTTGAATATGTGAAGCACCAGCACAAGACTCCAATCTGCAGACTGACCAGGGGCAGAGCCAGCAGGTGATGTTCAACATTGGCCCAGTGGGAAGGCTCAATCCTCTCTCAGAAGACACTGCCATAAAACAGGAAGGGAGGCCACTGCAGGAAGGGCCAATTAAGGCCATGTTGAACTCATCCAAAAGCTGGGAGATATTATAAATAAATTCAGCTTGCTAAAGGCCACATGTAATTCTTGAGACACATTTCATCATAGTGATGCTGAACTGTTGGAACCCATCTGTCCTCAAGGAGTCAATTTTTTTGCCACAGGCTTGAAAGTACCTTCACGAATATTTTCCCAAAACCAAGACTGAAACTGTTAAGTATTTATATCTGAAAGCAAAGACTGAAAATAACAGATGCTAAAATGAGCAAGCAAGGTTAGGTTCATTTTTACAGGCACATACGCACACACATCCACAAAGATACTAAAACTAACTCCATGTTCTCTTCCAAAACATTCACCTAAGTGGAGAGAAAGCTGCAACTGGATACTGCAATCACAGCTGGATGCAGCATAGTTCTTTAAAAGAACTGCAAAACCAGCACACAACAGAAACTTCCACATGTGGAAGAAGACTTGTCTGTAAGCAAAACGGAGGTGGGGGTGGCACTTGTTCTGAGGAAAGGAGTTTGGGTAAGTATCACCCATCATAAGTTAGAAGGAACTAACTAAACAATTTTCAGAAGTGAAAACTTCTGTTTTACAGAGAGTTTCCAGGCAGCACTAGCTTATTGCATGTTGTATGGTAATAAATCAAGTCTAAAGGCAAGTACTGAATGTGATAAATGTTCTCAAAGTCTCTAAAGCACCTGAACATATTCGTCATGCTGAGCCATGCTGGAACTATCAGGGAAATCTTGTACTCATTACAGACTAAGTATAGTTGAAAATAATAATAAATACAAGTCTTTGTATTTATTATTGTATCTTAACACATTTGCATCTTTTAATGCAAAGCAAAACGTACCTAGGTACAATTTTAAGACAGTTCAGGCTCTCAGAAGAAACAATCTTCCTAGGCCACTATGCTGGTATTACCAGAATTCCCAACATTCTTTCTGACCCTCCACATACCTGGCTTCCAAAGACAAATTCTAGTCACATGCAACATGCAGCAAGTCAAGGATATGCATTTGGAAAGTTCAAAGGAAAATGAAAGTGTTCCTAACACCAAACAGAAAGTCTACAGAATGGATAATAAATGCATAAAAAGTTAATGAGTAGATAATTGGTTTCATTAAAAGATAAATGCCCCTCACCCCTAATAGCATTAGTGGTGATATTACTCCATCAATACCCTCCGGCTTATCATAACCTCTTTTTATGCCTGTAGAGTCACGTCCTGCTTTCCAAAGGAGTGTCTGCCTTACCTCTGCCTGAAGAAAGATCAAAGGATCTTGCTAATGACCTGAGTTCTTCAGCCTATAAGTGACAGACAGCTCTATCTCAAACTCATCAGGAACAAGTAGGAAAAAAAGGTCAGAAATCTCAAAAGAACAGTATTTATATAGAAGAAAAGAACGAAAAAGCAATGGTATTAAATACATTCCCCAGCTCCATAGGATAATTAGACAGAAAAAAATGGTAGAAAACTACTCATTTATTGAATTTCCTAGCTTACCAAGTGATGTAAAAAATTGCAGGAAATGAATATAATTCTTCTCCTCTTCAGGAAAAAAAAAAAAAAGTCCAAAATACGCAGGACAATGGGATATTTTTGGGGAAAAACAAAAAACAAAACAAAAAAACAGACTACAATTTTGAAGTCATAGAAGATTACTGGCAATATCATGAATGCATCAAATATTTTAAAAAATGTGAAGAGGTTTATTATATTTTCATGAGATGTGTTTTCTCTGCTATTATGAAGAGAGGACTACACAGATGTAATGTGATATTCCCTTTGTAACTATGGTTAATACTCAATTTATCATAACAGAGAAATTGTCCATAATAAAAACAGATACAATTCGCCTTTGGTGCATTAAAAAGCTTGTTCTTAATAATAATTTGAACCACATTTCCCCAGAATGTGAATTTGTTAAGTGAGCTTAGCCAGTCGTGGAGAAGAAAGCAGAATGTACTGCTCTCTCAGCACACATATGTGGCCCGGAACAGTGATATCTATATTCCAGTGAATTCAAAGCCTTGAAAGAAAAGCAAGATGAAACTAACAGACAGTGTTTTGTTCCAAAGGAGACTGACAGTCACAAGACCTTGCTATGATCTTAACTGACAGGTCCCAATTGAAAATTCTTGGCAAGCTTTCACTGCACACTAGACTGACAGCTGCAGACAGGATGGACAGGAGAGAGCTAAGCCTTAATCTGAATGATACAAAACTGGATAACTGCCTTTGCTGCTTTGGATGTGCAAGAGCCTATAAGAGAAGGTATTGCCATTAAAGGTATTCTAAACCTCACTTGAACAAATACAAATGCTTCCCCTGTTCTTGTACATTAGCAACATAAAGAAAATATGAATTATCAGAGTTTGTACTTTGTCAAGTTTTGCTTTGATTTTTTTTTTATTTAATATTTTTTGGTATTACTTATTTACTTGGGAAGATGAGAGGTCTGGGGAAGGGTCTGGAGGGCAAGATGTATGAAGAATGGCTGAGGCCCCTTGGTGTGCTCAGCGCAGGGCAGAGGAGCTGAGGGCAGGCCTGATGGCGGCTGCAGCTCCTCACAGGGAGCGGAGAGGCAGCGCTGAGCTCTGCTGTGTGACAGCGACAGGGCCAAGGGAACGGCATGGAGCTGTCAGGGGAAGGCAGCTGGGGGTCAGGGACAGGGGCTGCAGCACAGGGCGGTGGGCATGGAACGGGATGCACAGGGCTGTGGGCACGGCAACAAGTGCTGGAGTTCAAGGTGCATTTGGACAGCGCTGTCAGATGCAGGGTTTTGAGTGACATTTGGATCTGGAGTGGTACTGTGTGGAGCCAGGAGTTGGAGTCAATGATCCCTGAGGGTCCATTCCAACTCTCAACATTCTGTGTTGTTATGGTTCTAGGATAAAGTCTCACATGCTATTGAGCTGATACGCTTATAGGCCCAAACTCATTCTTGAAAGTCGTTATTTGCTGCCATGTTTTGGGATGAGTATGGTCGTGCAGTGAGAATGTAAAAAGCATGTGGCCACGTTACTGTCAAGTAATAACTTGACCAACACCTGAAGTAATCTAAAACCTAACTTAGCTCCAGCCACTCCTGTGATATACTGCCTGTCCAAACATTTCAGTGCATTCCCAACTGCTGAAGGATTAAATAACTATCAGCAATGGCACATCCGTAGAAACACCTTAGGTGATTTTGAGAAGCCACCCAACAGCTTCTGGTTCTTGCAGCACTCTATCACTTTGCCACAATATGACCAGAAATCTATTATATTCTAAACCTTCACATTTTTGAAATGATCTGGATGTTCTGAAATTTGTACCAGTGCAGTCCTCATTGACCAAAACCAGATCCTGCAGCACCCCCTGTGTATTTCATAGCCACTGCATAATTGAAACAGCCCACCTGCTCCAGAGCCATTTCCTCAGCTGTGAAGCACTACAAGCACAGATGCGATACTCTCCTACAATAGCCCCAGTTTGGAGATGCCTTGGAGGCTGTCATGCTCACTGCAGTTGTTCTGCCTGTAAAGTTCAGTGAAAAGCATTAGGCACCGAAACACTCCAGTGGTATTCTCTGCCTTGAGTTACAATAATCTTGCTTCGATTTGGTGCCTGGCCATTGCTAATGTCGTTATCGTTTTACGCATGGTAATGAGATAACTGGTCACATGGCCTTCCCCCTGTCCTCTGGGGTCTAATGAATACACAGCATACATAATTAAGGAAGTCTAGTTTTAGCATACAAATTATTAGTGTTTCAATACAAAAAATGCACAAAAGTGGAATGAATGTTTTGTGACAACTCAACTCTTTCATTCAGGAAATGTGACTGCACTGAAAATATCTATTCATATGTTTTTGTTTTCTAATGGAGTCAGCATTTTAAAATCTCTGGAATGCACTACTAAAGACAGCTGAGTATTTAGAATATGATAGCATACACTTTTTGGCAGATTTCATCAAAATCTCATAATATTTCCTAATGCTCCGGTGTGACTGACAGGAATTTCATCTATTAGCACAGAAGTTCTCCCCCTCCAACAGTTTCCTATCAACATGAAATGGAAGCTGCAACTTCAGTTTGAATGCCACAGCAAACAAGCTGATGAGGCTGCCATTTTTTATTTTTAAGGTAT